TGCTTTGAGTTGCTTGCCGAGGTTTTTACTGATCAGTTTCTGTTCTTAGTATTCTATCAGGTCTTTGCCTAAAAATGAAAGGCTGAACGGTTGTGCTTGTTTGCGGGCATTCTAAAATTTAGTCATTTCTTGATTTAACATTCTTGTTGACAATCAAGTTGGATTTATTACGCAAATGCTTTGGACTCCAGTTGCAAGTTCTTTTTCCATATTTTAGATCATCCTGAGATTTTTATTTGGATGCCATCAAATTTCCTTCAGCAAGTTCCATATGGATAACATTTTTTTACCAAGATTTCAGAAGAGGGAACGCATCAATATTCTCGAGATCATGAAAATCTAAATACTAAATCGGAGGAAAAAGTTCACGCACAAAATGATTCAAAACTTGGGACTTATTAATAGTACCAACTTGGCAAGATCTCGCCATCTTGCTACCATTCCAAAACTTCATTAGGTGCATAAATTTTGTCTTTTTAGTTTTTTTTTTTTTTAATGTACTAAAACAAGTAATTCAGGCTTGCATGAGTCATTGAGTAGGGAGAACACATATTCAACTCTTAATAGGATGAAGTAAAATCTTTTATAATATTTATAAAGCTACTTCAACAGCCCATGTACTATTGGTCCATAAATTCTGTTGTTTGTTTATACAAATGCGATCACTTGAATAAAATCCGTACTCATTGATCAACATTTTCGTGTATGGACATGTAACATATAGTTTGGTTTGTAGTTGCTTTCAAGTTTATACAGTACTAGGTAGCTTTTAAATAAAGAGCCTTAACTTTGACCTCAATAATTCCTGCTTATCGTCAATTTAGGTGGAATCCTCCCATAAACAAACGACTTCCATCAATTATTTGTGCTAATAATTTATTTCCAGTTACGTATTCGTTTATTGGACTATTTATTATTAATTTTTTATCTTAAAGTTATATATATTTTATTTTTGTTGTATAATAAAAATCAATTATATTTTATTTTTTATCTTATTCGATCAGTATATCATGTCATTCGAACTTAATATTTTTTACTTTCATCAAAATAAAATAATTATTGAATTATTTAAATTTTTGGTTATCTTATAATTATATTAAATTTTAATTAATTTAAAATTAAATTGAATGATTTTATAAATTTAAAATTTTATTTAAAAAAATTAAATATATTTTATTCAAACTAATAAATATAAAAATAATTTATTTTTTTAACTAGAATTGCGGTCCCGAAGACAAAGCATGGCAGAAGAAAAACACATAACATTAGCGCGATAGGTCCCGAAGGACCGTTTTATGTACTGCCGACAGTGTCCAATGAGATTACAAGGACAGATACAGTCAACTCGGTCACGTGCATCGTAATTCGGTTCCTGTCTCCTGTGGGCCCAAGCGCACGTGCACGCATTTCAACCACCCCTGTGTTATAGACGGCCCACTACTCAATATAGCCTATGGTCCATGAACTCCTAGTTCATTAGTCATCATGCCCCGTCGAAGCGCAAACAGTTCCATCCCTAGCCTCTTTTTTTTTTTTTCTTTTTAGCAGTTTCAGCTTTATTTTAGTTTTTAGTTTTGAAGAGA